TTCACAACATTGTATTTGATAATGATTTATTGGATACTGAAAGCACAGCCAACAAATGTAAAAACAGATAAATTCAACTATATAAAAATTAAAAAGTTCTGTGCATCAGTACCATGAAAAGGAAATCTTTGTTATGGGAGCAAATATTAGCAAATCATATATCTGGTAATGGGTTGCAATCCAAAATATGTTATCATTCATAATTAGATTAAATTATTTAAAGTAAAACCCACAATGAGATACCACCTCAAACCCAAGAAAACAGCTATTATAAAAAATAAAGCAAAACAAAACAGAAAATAACAAGTGTTGAAGAGGTTACGGAGGAATTAGAATCCTTGTGCACGGTTGGTGAGCATGTAAAATGGTATAATTACTATGAAAAATAGCATGCTGGTTTCTCAAAAACTTAACAGAATTAACATACGATCCAGCAATTCCACTTCTGGGTATATCTAATACAAAGGATTGAAAGTAGAGTCTTGCCAGGGTACATGCACACCCATGTTCACAGCATTATTATTCACAACAGCTAAAAGGTGGACGCAATCCAAGAGTCCACTGCTGAATGATTATAGACACAAAAAGAGGCACGTACACACAGTGAAATATTAAACGGGCTTAAAAAGGGAAGAAATGTATGTACATCCTACAATATGAATGAATCCTAAAGATATGCTAAATTAAATAAGCTGGTCACAAAAAAACACTGTATGATTCCACTAATATGAGACACAAGGAGTACTCCATTTCATAGAAACAAGGTAAAATGGTGGTTGCCAGGGGCTAGGGAGAGGGAGTAAGAGAGAACTTTTGTTTAATGGGTGTAGAGTTTCAGTGTTGCAAGAAGACAGAAATTCTAGACATTGGTTACACAATGATATGATTTTATTTAATATTACTGAACTGTACACTAAAAAATGATTAAGGCAGTAAATTTTGGGTTATATATTTTACCAAATTTTTTAAAAGTGTTCACTGCAAGAATTTATGAGTGTTCAGCACAGCTGCAGTATAGGATATCAATATATTAAAAATTATAACAATAATAGCAATAAAAATATTTTTAAAAGATGCTAGTTAAATAGAATAGATTTTCTTCTAGACTTTAATAGTATTTTTCATCACTGTAATTGTTTAAAGGTTTTGTAGATATGGAAAGAACAGAACAAAGATTGCTAACTTGTTACTGATTGTAGAACACACAGAAAAAAATTATTCCATTTGAATTATATCTGGTTAGATCTCAGCAGTATTAACTCACATCCCATAAGATGGTGAAATTTTGCCTACATAAAAGATAAAATCTTTGACAAATAGGACATTTCAGAAAGTCAATGCTTTGCTGACAAGATATCTTATTGACTTAATAGCTGAGTCATGATATCTCACAGCCAAGATTCAAGCTCCAGTCTTCCTAATCCAACTATGTTGCTGACTCATCACCTACATCCCAGTCAGGTCAGCTGAGGGCTTGGGTGTTGTCCTGCATAAAGACGGAGGCATGGACTAGATGGCATCCCAGCCCCATCATTCTAGATACCAGGAATTGAACTTCTGAGTAGACCTGCCATTGTGACAACCCGGTAACCAATGTCCAGACCACTCCCGCATTACTAAGCCCTTTGGAACAATCTGAACAGGAGAACAAATGTCATACCCAGGAGAGAAGGTGGCAGATCTTTCAGGGTGATGTAGCCCACACACCTCACTGAGCCTGTCTCAGAGTGTGTCTCCTATGAGGGTGGCCTGAGTCATAAGGAATAGCTATTTATAGACTGTAAATCAATGCTAATACCAGTAAGAGGATTTAAAAGTCATTAAACATCCATTGTGCATCTAGCCTTTTGTTGAAAAATAGAGGTAAAGGATCATAAAACATCCAAGGCAGACCATCAAATAATTTACTATTATCTCATTAGAGTGATATGCCACATGAAGGATAAAAAAACATGTGGAATTGAGCCACAGTGTCCTGGAAGGGCAGAGGCCATGACGTGCATTGCAGGGAGAAGCATAATCAAAATACAGAATACAGCCCCTTTCCGCTTCAGAACATTTCTGAGAGTGGACAACAAAGGCTTAAACCAAAGGGAGGACGTAAAGTCTTATTTCACTGCAGGAATTTGGACATTTACCCTTATACAGTGTCCAATCCTGAACAAGACTTAACTAATAATTTAGTGTTAATTCTGTACAAGGATGGGAGAGTGTTTTCTTGGATGTCACAAAGGAACAGAAGCAAAGACACACTACAAGTGTTTGGAGCGACTATGTTGTCCGAGGAGGCTGGGTAGCTGTTATATTGATGCTCTGAGAAAGGGGGCACACACACACCTCTCTCCAAATATGTAAGCTCTGTACCTGTGTTTATAAATACACATGTATCTCCACCATGTTTTGGTTAGGGTCACCCTGTCCATAGTGACCTAGATATCATTCCCAAGCTCTGGGCATATCCAGAGTCTGTCAGGGACTGGGAAGAAGAGGACTTGTCCCTCGTGTGATTTAATCTGGCTTTTCTTGGTAGTCATCTGTAGAAATCATTTAATTTGTGGATTACCTTGCAGTCATGGCTGTCTCAGTGACCACTGTGTCCTAGAATGAATAGCAACGTGTTTCATTAATATCCTAAAAGTGTGTAAATTCAAAACATTCCATTCATTTAAATCCTGTGAACATATAGAAAGCTAGTGACCCCAGGGAAGAGAGAGGACAGGGGCTTCCAAAGTAGCAACATAAACACATTGACATTAAATATTAAGGACTCTTGTTCTTAAAAGGCACCTGTCCTCCTATGATCTGGGGCAGCGTCCCACCAGCCATTTGACCCCACTTGGAAGAGTAGACCTATAATGTCTCACAGCCATGTCTCTTTTCTTCCTCTTTCTCCAGTGCCCTCAAAGTGACCCCAGAAAAGTCCTAATTCTCACACTAATACAAAGAGCAGAGCTGCTGCTTCTTGTTTCTCTGATGAGCTGCTTCCGGGTTCACACCTCAATACTGACACATCAAGGTCCCCGCCAGAAGAAAAGGGTTATTTAAAAGCAAACATCACCAAACAATCAGACTCACTCTCATCAGAAAAAAAGCTGTGCTTCATTTGTTAACCAAACATCAGTATCTTCACTCTGTATTCAGCAAAGTATGAATATTTCGCTTATTCAGAGCCTACACCATTTCAGTCTCTCTGTCAGGCACCGTTTCTCTTTTTTAGGTTACTTTATTGATTTTCACAACCAACTAATTCTTCTGTAACTATTCCTTTTTTATCTTCCAGCTTTATGGTTTAAAAAACAGAAAATGATACAGGCTAAATAGTTCCAACAGTCCCACCTCACAGGGCCTGGTCATGGGCTGGTTCTACTTCCAGGGTTTTACTTGTGTAGATGTCTACACTGCACCCACAGCCACACAGTTTCGTGGTGCACAGAGCAAGAAATAAACAAGCATGGAAACCTCACGGATGAGTACTTCAACTTCAACCCAGGTTACACTGAGCATCAGGCACTTTTGGAAAGACAGAAGTGAGATAGGCCTAAGTTCTAAGACTGAGAACAGAGAGGCTCTCAAGGCAAGCAGCCTTCGAGTAAATGAGGTGGGTGATGGTAGGAGTTATCCTGAGACCCCATTTCAAGTAGGCACTTTCCTACCTGGGAGTGGCTGCCTTGAGCCCGGGGAGAGAGTCACCACCTGTCACAGGACCCACGTGCTGTCAGGAGGCAGGTCCTCTCATGCCCAGGCCCTGTCTCACAGCTGAAGCACAGCCCAGGCCAGGATAAAAGGACTTAGGACCAGAGCACCCCATCCACACACCTCCTGAGGTGCTGAAGAGCCCTGTGCTACGTGTGACTCCGGTAAGAACAGGAGCAGGGATGCTGAGAACAAGGAAGGAGGGGAGGTGGGGAAGGGCCTCGGGGCTACAGCCATGTTGTCAGAGGTGGAGAGTTTAGAAAAGACTGAAAGTGTAGGCTGCAAAAAGGGGTCTGAGCACTAACTGGGAATGGGAAGGAGAAGAAGAAAAGAGCTGGCTGGCTGTGCCATGTGCCTTTGAACTCTAGAGGAAACACATTGCTCTGGGATGAGGTGGGCCTTCCAAGATGGGAGCTTGAAACACAGAGACCTGCTCCACTCTGGCCGGCCACAGGAGGGAAGCCCACCTCGGAAGACACAACCCCGTCTCTGCCTGCAAGGGAAGAGCTAGAGCCATGGACATGGGACTAAAGGCTCTTTCGGGCTTATGAACCCCAAAGTTTTATGGATCTGAGACTTGTTCACAAACTTCCCGGGTTGGTTAAGACACACCAAGCCTGAGAGCCACCATGTCAGCCATCAGCCTGAGCAGGTGGTGAGCTGAGGAAGTCTGAGCTCCAACCTGAGATCAGGCGGTCAGCGTTCCAGTACTCGCTGTGCAGCAGTTGATGAATTTATCTGTCTCTATTGAAGTGAGTTTACTGACCTAGTAGTCTCCCAGATCCTGTGCAATGCTGACCTTCCAAAGTAAAATTGTCTTGCAAGTTGTGACAAGAGAGAATGACTGCTTCTTTCCTTTTAGAAATAATTTCCCCTTAAATGATTTGTAATTAGACAATTTCCATCTGAAGACATATTTGTAATACTTTCCTTCTCCACTGACAACACATTAGAATCTTAGATGCATTTTGCAATATTGTTTAGTCTTAGTTTACAATTGTCTGACATTCAAAGATGTCCTAAGCTTGAAAAAGATGATATGAGAGTTTGAGGAAGTTATTGGAAGTAAAACTACTGAAGATTATGTTTTTATACTTGAGTGATGCTAAGAGTGTCACAGGGACAGAGGTGGCCTCTACTTGGGTCTGATTTTCTGTCTGATTCTCCCACAGCTCCTGAACACCCACCGCCAAGATGTCCTGCCAGCAGAGCCAGCAGCAGTGCCAGCCCCCTCCCAAGTGCACCCCCAAGTGCCCCGCCCCTAAGTGCCCCCCAAAGTGCCCCCCTAAGTGCCCTCCAGTGTCTTCCTGCTGCAGTGTCAGCTCTGGGGGCTGCTGTGGCTCCAGCTCTGGGGGCTCCTGCAGTTCCGGGGGAGGTGGCTGCTGCCTGAGCCACCACAGGCGCCGCAGGTCCCACCGCCACAGACCCCAGAGCTCTGACTGCTGCAGCCAGCCCTCGGGGGGCTCCAGCTGCTGCGGAGGGGGCTCCAGCTGCTGCGGAGGGGGCTCCAGCTGCTGCGGAGGGGGCTCCAGCTGCTGCGGAGGGGGCTCCAGCTGCTGTGGGGGGGGCAGCGGCCAGCACTCTGGAGGCTGCTGCTGAAGCGAACCTTGACTTCCTCTTTCTTCTGAGCCTGCCTAAGGGCTGAGAGTTTCCAGCAGAAGCTTGAAGTCTTGCCTGGAGTATCCCTCTGGTCTGATATCAGGAAGCCCAAAATCTTTCTCCTTAATGGCATTTAGAGACTTCCTTCTGCATATCCATGGCTGCCCTGGGAACTCCAAAGCACACACCTAGTTCCACCGCAGCTCGTGCTGCTGTATTCTGCTGCCTGAACTGAAGAAATAAAATCCAGAATCTGCTCCCCAACTTGGTACCAGCCTGCTTGGTTTTTCTGTTTGTGTCTCCTTGTTCTGTTCTCCTGTGTCTGCTGGTGGCTGCTGAGGCCTCAGTGGACAGAGGACTGGGAAAGGGTCAGGAGGAAAAAGCTTGCATTTTTGTGTTTTGTGTTTTTTCTTCTTTCTGCGTTTTCATTTTAAAGCAAGGGACTGAAGGAGCATTGAGAAGCATTGTTCTTTCAACTTCTGGCTCCCTTCATGTATGTAACTGTGTCCCCCAACCATGGCCAGGAGGCCAACTTCATTCTCCTTCCCACTGTCACCACTTCACTCTTGTGTTCCTAGTTCCCCATTCCTTCCACCAACAAGCTCCCTGGACTCCTCCTTCAGATTATATGTAGTAGTAGACATATGAATAAAAATGTATATATAGGTGTGTATATACACACACATATTTACATATGCACACATTATATGAAATAAATCTTATATTTTAAATTTAAATCACTTATATTGATGTATAATTTTCACAGAATAAAATTCCTTTGAAAATATACAATTCAATTAGTTTTGCTAAATGTATACACTCTTGTAACCATGATTGCAAGCAACACTCTAAAAATCTAGTTGATTATTAATTAGTATTTGCAGAAGGTTTAAAAATAGGCTATCTGTTTATGATTTATTTCTGGATTTTGTGTTTTGTTTCATTGGTCTATATGTTTGTTTTTATGCCAGTGCCATGCTGTTTTTGTTACTATAACTTTGTAGTATAATTTGAAATCAGGTAGCCTGATGCCTCCAACTTTATTCTTTTTTGCTCAGGAGTACTCTCATTCTTTGGAGTCTTCTGTAGGTCCATAAAATATTTAAGCCTTTTTTTTTCTATTTCTTTGAAGAATGTTGTATTAGTCAGCATTCTGCAGAGGGACAGAACTAATAGGATATATGTATCATGAAAGGGAGTTTATTAGGGAGAATTGAGTCACACGGAATTTTCACAAAGATTACATTGAATCTGTAGGTTGCTTTGACTACTGTAGTCATTTTAACAATATTAATATGCCAATTTATGAGCCTGGGACATCTTTCCATTTGTTTGTGTCCTCTTCGATTTCTTTCAACAATGCTTTTATTTTTCATTGTAGTTCTTTCACATCTTTGGTTAAATTTATTTCTGGCTATTTTATTTTTTGCAGCTATCATAAATGAGATTGTTTTCTTGATTTCTTTTTCAGATTGATTCCTGTAAGTGTATAGAAACACTACTGATTTTTGTATGTTGATTTGGTATCCTGCCACTTTGCCAAATTTATCAGTTCTAAGAGTTTCTTGGTGGAGTCTTTAGTTTTTCTAAATATAATAAGTTATCTACAGAAAAGATAATTTGACCTCTTCCTTTCAAATCTATATGCCCTTTATTTCTTTTTCTTGGCCAATTACTCTGGCTAGGACTTCCAGTCTATGTTGAACTAAAGTGGTGAAAGTGGATATCCTTATCTTCTTTCATACTTAATAGAAAGTACATTTTTTCTTCATTCAGTATGATATTAGGTGTGAGTTTTATCATGTTGATGTATGTTCCTTCTATATGCAATGTCTTGAAGGTTTTCAACCATGAAGATATGTGGAATTTTATTGAATGCTTTTTTCAGCATCTATTGACAAAACTTTACCTAGATTAAGGAAAAAAAGCCCCAGATAAATAAAATCAGATGAAAGATGAAACATAATAATTTATATCACAGAAATATAAAGGATAATTAGAGACCGTTATGAACAACTGTGCACCAACAAACTGGAAAACCTAGAAAAATACAGATAAAATTACTGGACAACCTTCCAAGGTTGAACCATAAAGAAATAGAACAGACCAATAATAAGTAATGAGATTAAAGTAGTAATAAAAAGTTTCCCATCAAGAAAAAGCCCCAGACCTGATAGATTTTTTGCTGAATTCTACCAAACATTAAAAGAACTACTTCTGATTCTACTCAAACTATTTCAAAACACTGAAGAAGACCAAATACTTCTACAAGGCCGGAATCACCCTGATATCCAAAACAGACAAAATAGAAAAAGAAAACTACAGGCCAATATCTCTGATGAACATAGATGCAAAAATCTTCAACAAAATACTAGCAAACAGAATTCAACACTACCCTAAAAAGGCTATTCACCATGATAAAGTGGGATTCACCCCAGAAATACAAGAATGTTTCAACATAGGGAAATAAGTTAACATGATGCATCCACAGCAGCAGAATCAAGGATTGTCTTCTTTTTCAAGGCTGAATAATATTCCTTCTGCTATATAGTATATATATTCAGAATTTTAAAAATTCATTCATCCACTGACAGACATTTTAGGTTGTTTTCAGATCTTGGTTATTGCAAATAATGCTGAAGGAAGACTAGGAGTACAGGCATTTCTTGAAAATACCGATTTTATTTCCAGAAGTGGAATTAGTAGATCATGAGGTAGTTCTATTTTCTATATTTTTTGGAAATTTCATATGGTTTTACATAATGGCTGTACCAATTTATATTTCCAACAAGCGCGTACAAGGATTCCCATTCTGCCACATCCTTGCCAACACTTGTTATGTTTCATCCTTCTGATAATAGCCATTTTAACAGGCATGAAGTGATATCTCATTGTGGCTCAGATTTGTGTTTTCCTGATGATTGGTGAGATTGAACACCTTTTTCTGTATACCTGTTGGACATTTGTGTGTCTTTTGAGAAATATCTATTCAGTCTTTAGTTCATTTTTAAATTGGGTTGTTTAGTTTTTGCCATGCAGTTGTCTGAGTTCCTTCATGTGCAATTATTAAGAGTTTGTCAAGATGAGAAAGCAAAAAAAGATCAGCAGTTTCCTTGGTGTTGGCTCTGATGCACAGAGATAAAAATATAACTTAGCTTAAACTATTATATTTCCAGTTAGATCTCAGTAATGTTTTCTTCCATCCCATGTTAGGATAAAGTATTGATGATGTAAAAGATAAATGCCTTGACCCTCAGAAAGTCAGTGCTTTGCTGATCAGCATGTCTGTATTGACCTGATAGCTAGTCTATGATTTTGCAAAGCCAAGACTTGAATTCCAGTCTTCCTGATACAACTATGTTGTTGACTCATCACCTACATCCTAGTCAGGTCAGTTGAGGGCTTGGGTGTTGCCCTGCATGAAGGCAGAGGCATGTACCAGATAGAAACCCAGCCCCATCATCCTAGATATCAGGAGTTGAGCTTTTGAGTAGACCTGCCATTGTGACAGCCTAGGAACTAATGTCCTGACCACTCCTTCATTACTAAGCCCTTTGGAACAATCTGAGCAGGAGAACAAATGTCATACCCAGGGGAAAAGGTGGCAGATCTCTCAAGGTGATGTGGCCCACACACCTCACTGAGCCTGTCTCAGAGTGTGTCTCCTATGAGGGTGGCCTGAGTCATAAGGAATAGCTATTTATAGACTGAAAATCAATGCTAATACCAATAAGTGGATTTGAAAGTCATTAAACATCCATTGTGCCCATGGCCTTGTGTTGAGTAATTGAGGTAAAGAAATATAAAACACCTGAGGCAGGTAATTAAAGAATTTACTATTATCTCATTAGAATGATATGCCACAGGACGGAAAAAAGAAGTAGAATTGAGCCACACTGTCCTGGAAGGGCAGAGACCACGGCTTGCATTGCAGAGAGAAGCATAACCAAAGAACAAAAATAATCCTGTTCAGCTTCAGGTCATTTCTGAAGGTACATGGCAAAGGCTTAAACTAGAGGAAGCACACAAGGTCTTAGTTCACTGCAGGAATTTGGAGATTTACCCTTATACGGTGTGCAATCCTGAACAAGATTTTACTAACGACTGAGTGTTAAGTATTTATGGAGATGAGAGAGTCTTTTTCTGAATCTCACACTGGAACAGCATCAAGGAGGCCCTTTTATCCCGGCCTTGGACTGTGTCCCGATGGGTGAGGCAGCACCTGGGCGTAAGAGGACCTGCCTCTTGTCACCTAGATGGGTCATATGACCAGGTGATAACTAGCAGCTTCTCACCTGGGATAAGAATAGCTCCCATTAGTGCCATCTCATTCTCCTTGGAGCTGCATTAGGTCTTTTCCTTGGAGTTTGGTCCCCCAAGCCCTCTTTTTCTATATCCCCGATAGTATCATTTAAACCAAAATTTTACAGAAATCTTTTAATGTCACTGATGTGTCCCAGATTCTGTGTGTGTGTGTGTGTGTGTGTGTGTGTGTGTGTGTGTACAAATACATGTCTATACCATCACTTTTACAAGCCTGGTAGGAGTCAGACACACCTGGGACAGAATCCTGGTTCTGTCACTTATTAGCTGTGTGACTTCTGAAAATCCCAAATTATCTCATCCTCTGTTTCCTGAAATTGAAAGGAGAATAATAAAGATATTTAAATTTAAAGGAGAATAATAAAGAATAATAAAGATATGAAGATAATAAAGATTAGTCTCCAAGATGTTGTGAGAATCAACGAAATTATAGAAAGGAAAGGCTCATTAAAGTTCCTGGAACACAGTGACCCCTCATATGAAATATCTGTCTATCAATAATTTTAAAGGGAATGAATATTTTTTGAGATGGTCCGAGTCCGGGCCACTATGTGAAGGACCCCTGGAAAAGAGACCTCTAGTGGAGGAGGCTGGAAGACCTGAAAAAGTAGGAGGACTTGAAATGCAATGGGAAAGATTCAGTGTTATTTCTTTGTTTCAACATGAACAAAAGTTTTTGTCTGAAGGTCAAAACTTTTTGTCTGAAGGTCAAATGTTTAAAAACATTTTTAGGAGATTAAGATTTATTACTGTCAATTTGGTATATAACAGGTGTTCCTTCCATATCTTGAGGGCAATATTATTTAAAAAAGAAAAGAACTAATTAGATGAAAGCGAATTAGACCAGGGAGTAATCATGTGAAAAAGTTCTCTTTTCAGGAAGTGTCAAAAACAATTCTCCAGAACATGTGATGAGGTAAAAATTGTCACAATAATACCAA